TGCACGCCTCTAATTCCAGCACTTGGGAGGCTTAGGCAAGTGGATACTTCTGAGATCAAGGCTAACCTGGTCTACACAGCAAGTTTCAGGTCAGCTGGGGCTACAGGAAGACCCTGTCTCAAAGAGCCAAAAAAAAAACTGACCTCCACACATACACTGTGGCGCACACACACACACACACACACACACACACACACACACACCACTAAAATCTGTGCTAATGCTTCAAAGATTCATAAACGAATTGATCAAAATACAGCATCAATGAAATTATAGAACCAATAAACAAACCTGCACATGCACGCTGTTCTAATTTCTGACAAAGGTGACAGTGTAGCACAGGGGATCTGAGTTTGATTAGTATGGCTCTAGATTTACTGACTATCCACAAGGCAAATATCATGGATCTCTACTTCACACAGTGCACAACCAGATGAATTGTAGCCTAAATAGGAAAGGTAGAAAGATAACATTTCTAGATGTTAATATAGGGAAGTAGATCTTTGTGGAAGGTGAAGATTTATTACATTGCACAAAATATACCAACCAAAAAGGAATAGAATAGATTGGACCTCACTCAGATTTTGAATTTAGTTCATTTAAAGATATCATTAGGAGTGAAAAAGAGTCACAGGGTTTTAGAATATTTGAAAAAGGTTATAACTGAAAAAGACTTTGTATCCAGAAATTATGAAAATATCATATAAATTAAAAAGAAAACTCTCATGTAACCCAATTGAAAACTGAACAAAAGATTTGACCTTTATTAAAGACCAAAAAAGGACAGAAAGTATAAACAAATGGCCACTACACATATGAAGGACTACCTATTCCATCAATCATGGAGTACAGGTAAAAAGAACAGAGGGATACCTTTACATATTCAACAAAGGGTTAAAATTAAAACTTAGAATACCTAGCTTGGCCAGAGTGATGCAAGCCTTTAATCCCAGCACAAGGGAGGCAGAGACAGTGAGATCTCTGTGAGATGGAGGCCAGTCTCACAACACCTGGGGCTAAAGGGAGACTGTGTCTCAGAAAAAAAAAAAGTACAGACACAACAAAAAAAAGTGTAAAGTTTAAAATAGCAACTATTGGTGAAAACATTAGGCAACTGAAATGTCAATAAATTTCTGGTGAAAGTGTAAATTGATGTAACCACAGTGATAAAATATTTGAGACTATCATCCTAAGGCAGCCTACCAAAGATCCATCATTTCTAAATGCACCCATCAGTTTATATATGTTCACCAAAAGAAATGCACAGAGCTGCTTATAGCAGAACAATCTGTAGGAAATGTTAGAAAAACTTGAATAATCCAAATAGTTACTATGTCGATAAAAAAATTAAATGTCAATATTAGCATAGTTAAATATATCATATATACATATATATGAATGCTGAATTGCAATGAAGATGAGCATTATGACTAAAGGGAGCAGGGGAAAATGTCTCATGAAGCTAGTATTGAATGAGAAAGCATCAGACACAAGAACACATCGAAATGTTTCTCAAATAAAGCCAAAATTATGAGTTGAGGCTGTAGTTGCATTGGTCGGGTATATGTGTACTATATAAAGCCTTGGATTTGATCCCCATCAAAACTGCAAAAACTTGGTGTGGTGGTGCATGCTTATAATCTCAATATTCAGGAGCTGGAGGCAGAAGGATCAGAGGTTCAAGGTCATCCTCATCTATATTGAATTGGACACCAGCCTGGGCCCTATGAAACCCCAAATTAAAGCAGTCCAAAAGTAGGCAAAACTAATCTATGGCATACAAGTAAAGGAAATAAATGCATTTACAATCTGACAGGGGCATAAGAAAACCTTGTCGGGATGATGTTAATGCCCTGTTCTGTGATTTGTGTGATAGACAGACAGGATACTGGTATTATCAAGGGTGAAATGGGGGAAATGGTGACACTTTAAAGGGGGAGGGTATGGAGGGAAATTTAGACAGGGAGAGAGAGAAGAGAGACAAACAATGCCTAGCTGGTATAAAAAACCAGAGGGAATCATATTAGTAAAAAAATCTATTGAAAAATTACACATAGACTATCTCTACATGAATCTGTGTGTATAGTTGAAGGCTACCTAACAAGAAACATTGCCAAACAAGAGAAACCTTCCTTTGAGTTGTTGGCCAGGGTTTATAGGAGACTGTCAAAATTAAACAGGATATTGCCACAGCCCTTAATTGCCTCCCAGAACTTAAAGGTAAGACCCTATTGCTGAAGACACAGGATTTGGAAATGACCTGGAAGTCACCTCATCTGAAGGCTAGCTCTCATAGTTTTGAAGAGCACCATGCAAGTTGCTAAGGGAGAACATCAATTGATGGTCCAACCCCAGCTTCTAGGACTAAAACCACATCAACGACAGGCACAGCAAACTATACTGGAGCAGTAGTGGCATTTTTATTTTGGGGGTAATCAACAGCTACCTAATTGGACTTAAAGCCCACTCAGTGGGAGGAAACTCTTATGTAGTAATGTAAACCTAGCCAAATACACATGGATGAAGAGGTCACAGATCTTAGAGAAAACCCCAAGGCTGTCACATCCCTGGACAAATGTAATTTCTTGCTGTGTGCAAAATATAGACCTTATGTTTACAGACAAGTATCCCAGTCATCACTCACCTAAGAAGCTTCTTTTGCAACAGATGGAAATTCTTAGAGTTCCACAACTGATCACACACAGAGATTGTCTGTGAATTGCCCGAGTCTAAGTGGCACATCTACAATGCAACCTCTACACATAAGGCTCATGGAACATAAAACAAAGGGTAAAGAGGACACTAATGCATCTATCAAGTCTCATCAAGGAAGATTCCTCATACAACAGAGGGCCAGGAACACACACACACACACACACACACACACACACACAGACACACACACAAATCACAAATGGCCAAAGTGTGGAGAGTGTCTACAGAGTGTGGGTCCTTGGACAGGACTCATACTAAACTCCACCCTCTCAGAGCTCAGGGACCATTGTAGAAGAGGGAGCAGAAAGATTCTAAGAGCTGGGACGAGATGCACGACCATATGGAAACAGAGTCCTACAAGCTCCTGGGTCTTTGCTCATATGAATCTACAGCAATGGTGTCAGCATACACAAGACCCATGCAAACTCAGGCAGACAAATACCCAGCACAGAACTGTGGAAATGGGCAATAAACTCCGATCTTAGTTGAAGAATTACTGACAACTGATTACTGCTCAGTGAGGAAGAGCTGATCTTCTTAACGGGAGGGACTCTAGATAGGCTGCATAAACCCCAGTGGATGAACTTGCACTGAAGGACTCCTGGGGACACTAATTTGACATGATAGCCCTTAACACAAATGACAGAGTATATGAATTCCAGGGGGTTGGAGGGATATGGGATGGTAACAAAGGGGAAGGGGGTATAAAGATGATTAAGGTGTTCTGTAGGAAAGACACAAAAAATTCAATAACACATTTACAAAAAAAAAACCCTAAAAAAACAACAACAACAAAAATCGTAACAGGCAGAAATTGTCCCTGCTAGATCCTATAGGCTAGCAAAATTAAAGCCCAATGCCAGGGATGGACTTTCTTTTTTGAAGCTGTTGACCAGGCATCTCATAGACCTTCAAACCATATTGGATATTGCCCTTGCCCTTGCTTACTCTTCAGAACTTTATGGTAAAACCCTATTGCTATAAACAACACGTATATTAGCTGTAGAAAAAACAAGGAGAAAGCAAGTCAGGGCTGACTTCAAAGCCTCATCTCTGCTGGCTAGCTTTCACAGTCCATGAAGGTGCTATGTGAGTCTCTTGAAGAGAAAATTTAGCTGTGAATCCTGCAAGTTACAACAACTGACCAGGCAAGATATGCCCACTGGTACAATAGTGGCATGAACATTACAGAAGCAGCTAACTGTTTCTTAATTGGATTTAAGATCCATTTTGTAAGGTAGAGCCCATATCTGACATTGCTATCAGACCTAGGAACCTGAGACCAGACAGTCCACAGGCCATGGGAGAGAGCCTAATACAATTATTCTGTTAAACAGATATAGTATTAACTGATTCTAATGACTTATTGTTACACTCATAGTTTAATACATCTCTCAATTCTCAGCATAGAATCTTCCTTCTACATCAGATGGTGGTTAATGCAGAGAAATACAACTGACCAGTGTGCAGTGAACAAAAGGTTGCAGGGTGCTTATCTCTGAATAAGACACCTATATCAAATCTTTGCCACCCAAGTCTCAGTGATCATTGCAGAAGAAGGGACAGAAAGACCATAAGAGCCAGAGGAAGTGGATACCACAAGGAAACAGCTTTCCAGACAGTTGGTCAGTACTCTTATGAACTCACAGCAATGGTGACAGCATGCATAGGTCCCATGTAAGCTCAAGTCAGACAAAATCCCAGCATAGACATGGGAAAGCAGGTAAGAAACCCCAACCCTACCTGCAGAACTATTGGCAACTGATGGCTGCTGGGAAGGAGAGACTCGGTCATGTTTAAGGGTGAGACTCCTGGTAGGTTGACCAGACTCCAGCGTATGAACCCACAGCAAAGAGTATTTGGGGGCACAAATCTGAATCTATAGGCCTTAATATAAATATGTTAATATAAATATATATACATATGTATATTAGAGTACAGGCAATTTGGTAGAGGGTTTCTAGGGGGGTATGCAGACACAGGAGGGGATCTAAATATCAAAATATTTTGCATGAAATTCACAAAAATTCAGTAAAAAATAAAGCCAAAGTCAATCACTAAGCATTTCTGTGTTTGAACATTTCTGTGTCCATATTGTGTTTCTAGAGTGATTACTTGTTGTGAAGTTCAAAATTCAGTGAAAGATGAAAATTGACTTAAGATACAAAATCTTTAAGATAATAAGAGGAAATGTTTTAACAAGCCATTCAAATGGCCAGCTTTACGCACACCCATGTACATGTCTGTCTCTCTCTACAGCCTTGACAGACATTTGGGTCACTTACTTCAAGCCAAATCTCCTTATCCTTCTGCAGGCTACCTTCACGCTGCTCACGCCCTTCATTCTGTGTATTTTTCACACTGGAGACACAGGGAAACCAGCCAGTAAGGGGGTGACGTTTGGATAAATCTGGATGATATGAAGTACAAATCTGAAATACAATTTCAACCCAAAAATTAGGTGTGGAGGGCAAGAGGTAAATGAAGTAAAAAAAAAAACTCTCCAGTACCAAACCAAGGTTTTCTCTCTTTAAATGCCTAATGATCAAATTATTGGCAGAAAAACCTTTATTCACATGGAATAATTTCTCAGTGCTCTGTTACCCTCAAAATGTAACATGCCAGAGTAGAAAAACAGGCAGAACAACTCTCGGTTCACCATCAGCCCAGGATCTTGCTCAAAGAATAGTCCTGGAATATTTTAGGTGACTGTTCAAAGGATTTGCATTGCAAATCTTTCCAGCCTAATGGTTAGATCCTTACCAGTTAGCATCAATTGACCCTAAAGGGTGGCCTCTGAATCAGGCAGCCAGGGAGCATTTGGCTGGGTAAAGGAACCCAAGAAGCTGAACTCCAGGAAATGTCTCCTACTTCACTTAGGGAAGACAGTCAGGCTAGACTAAAAGCCACTTCAGAGAGCTGTCATGAACTCAGAATCTCCAACTTTCCTGGCTTCTTGTCACCAGGCGCCAGAACTCTAAAGAGAAAGAAGCCAGAATTTGGTAGAGAGTGTGGCAGAAAAGGCTAACTTCCTCATCGTATCTACTTTTCCTTCACTTTCTCATAACAAACTCCAATTTTGTTCAAAATTATCCAGTTACATAAATGGCCATTTGCTCAGGCTTCTTCACAAGTAAGAGTGGTGATGTAGTCTGCATCTACCTAATCAATAAAAACGGGGATGAACATCTACAATGTTGAACTTCCATAAATTTGCCATTTTCCCAATAAAAAAGAGGAAGCATTGAGCTGGCATGTGCAGGTTTCCCTTCTTTCTGCCTGAAATATTGATTTCAAGGTGCTAGAAATGCAGCTCAGTGACAGAGAATTTGCCTAGTGTGTACAAAGCCCTGAGTTCAGGGGCTGGAGAGATGGCTAAGTGGTTAAGAACACTAAGTTGTTCTTGCAGAAGACCCAGGTTCAAATCCCAGCACCCACATGGCAGCTATCAACTGTCTGTAACTCCAGTCCCAGGGGATCCGACAGCCTCTTCTGACCTCTTCGGGCACTGCATGACACGGGTGCACTTACCTACATTCAGACAATACACACATACACATAAAATAAAAATAATAAAAAAAAAGCCCTGAGTTCAAACTGAAGTACCCCCCCCCACACACACACAAATAGAAAATGTTGACACCATGCCTATAGGAGCAACTGCCATGTTAAGAGCAGAAGGAAGGATACAGCAAGTTGAGGATTATAGCACTGGAGCCTAGACACCAGTACCCTTGGTGAGATACTTGAATGACTAGCATCACATATTTAGTAGTGTCACAATCTGCTCGGAACTGCCTCCTTAAAATGGCAAGTCTAAAATGAAATTATTTCATCCTGGCCTATAAGACCTAGTGGGCTAGTTTTCACCTCCATTGAAGGATAATCTTAACCATTGTTACAATGGATAGACGAGTCTATTTTATAATAGAAGCAACTGGAATGGTACTCAAGAGCCCTCCATCTTCTTTTCAGTATTCAACTTTAATTCAAAGGTCATTAGTATAACTTCTTAGTGTCTTCCTGAGAATCTCCCCTCTCTATAAGTAGATAGTCAGGGGAAAGTATTCAGCTGAGGATTTGCTCATACTATCAACTCTAGGATTTCTTCAACAATAATAGTTACTTAAATCAAATGATACTTTGATATTTACTATATATTTTAAATTTCATATTATACTTATACTAAACCATCCTATTTGATATAAAGTTATCAACAAATTTGGACCCAAAGAGATTAAGTGACTTGTCCAAGATCACATAATAGCAGTAATTCTGGTAGATTCAATATTATAACCAAGGTTTTCTGATTTCTTATTAGTTTCTCTTGCCTTTTTGCATTAAATCCTTCAATACTTAGAGTCCAAGTATAATTTCTGATATATAAGTTAAATTTGGAGATGCTTCTGTATATCTTGAGCTCCTAGACAAAAGATTTTGGAGTCAAGTCGGGTATGAGGGGCAGGATTTCATGGTTAGTCTAGAAGGTTTTCAGTTTGTTCTGGATGACTGAGGGGAAAATGGGAAGATAACATCCAGAATAAAGTGCAAATTCCTATTCAGCAACCAGGGTCATCACTTCAGAATTCTGCCCAACCTTCGCTCAGTTCATCTCACTTAACTTACCATGGAACGTGGCTCTCCTGTCACCAAGGAAACAGGGCATTTCTTCTTGTCTTCATAAGAAGAATAAGCCTGGGTAGCCCATTGATCCATGTATCCTTCAGGGGTATGGAGACCGCAATCCATGATGCTGGTTTCTTTCTCAAAAGCCTCACAAATCCCATCTCCCTCATACCTGTAGCAAAGGCTTGGTTCTCCTGCCAAGAAACATGTATGACACTGAAGGAATGTTTTCATGTCTTAGGAAAGAGCAGCATGGGAGGACTCCCAGTATTTCTTCTCCAACCCATTAAAAAAAAAAAATCTGAGTACCCACTGAAACACCAGCCCTTAGAACAAGAATCCTTCTTTGCTAGGCAAGAAGCAGAATTCACCTACATAAAAAAGTTACAGAAAAGGTTGAACTTGAAGAGAAGGACAAAGGGGGAAAGCGCTGTAAGCTGGATCTGGGAAGACATTTTAGTTTAGTGTAGCTTAATTTTTGTTTGCTTTTTTTCTGAGACAGGGTCTCATGTAGCCCAGGCTGGCCTTGAACTCCTGATCCTCTTTCCTTCACCTCTTGAGTGCTGGGATTAGAACCATTTGCTGCCATGTCCAGCTAAGATATTTTAAGTAAAGTAGCATGAGACACGGGGGATGTTGGAAAAATGAGAGAGTTGGGAAAAAGCAGAAGCAGAATTCAGAGAAAAGATATGATATAGATGTATTTCAATATCCTTCATAGTTTTTGAAATATTCAAGCATTTAAGGGGTTTCTTCACTGAGTTATGCTTCCTCCAGTCCTTTCTGTCACTGAGATGTGTTTCTCTGATCAGGATACTGTTCTGAAACTGTTTTGTGTAGACTCTCGTTCAGATGGCATCACTTCTCTCAGTTTAGGACAATCAAGTGAGGTGTGATTTTTAGTTTCATAAATGAGAAATACAAGTCTCAGTGAGCTTGTATGATGTGATAAGTGATCTCTGATTGACAAGAGATGGAGCTTGGCTTGATTCAGGCTCACAGGACACAGAGTCATGCTCCCCTCAAACCGTACCCCATACTGCCTCATGCTAAGGAAGAGCAACAAACACGAATATTTGGAGGAAACTGTTCTGGTTATAAGACAAGCTTGGATGCTCTCGGCAAGTTTTGTCTTTGCTCACAGGGTAGCTCCTACTAGATGAACAGTGATGCTCCTTTATAGACATGCAGATTGGCTTTCTTTAATGTGGAAAGCTGAGAAGCAGTTTACAAAGCCATCTATGGAGTTCTACCAAAACATAAAACAATTGGCCCAGTTTTCCATTTCTACTAAAAATAGCAGGACATTGAAATAGAATTCAGATTCAAAAACCAATCAACACCATTCAGTATCTACTCAGTAAAACTATTACTAAGATATATTGTTGCTATTCCATGCTTTTAAAAAATTTTAATTCTTCACAGGAAATCCACAGGGGTACTCAGCAGCTCTCCAACATACAGTTATTATTTTCCTTAGCAATTTCCTCACATAGAAGACCCTTCTGTGGAAAATCCATTTATGCATGCCAGGAATAAGCCACTGTTCATAGAACACAGTTCTAAGCCCACTCAAGATTTTCATCCAAATTCTGTCAAGTCCATGGCACCCTCAACCCGCAATCCAGTACCTGTACCTTTGAAGTGACATTCCCAGAAGAATAAGCTGTCTTCTCTCTGCTTGTATTATCATTTATAACAAGTTATATGTCTATATATTTTTCTAATTATAACTCAGTGACTGCTTCTTCTTGCTTTATTTTTTGTAGCCATGGAATTTAAATTCTTGTGTTTTCTGCAATTCTATGTGAAAATAATAGACCACTTTGAAAGCATATTTCTAATGGTTCCTTCCACTCTAATCTTCTGAACAATAATGAAGTAAAACTATATACTTAGCACAAGAAAAACGTGTTCATTGAAAAAGATATCTAATAGTAGAATATATTACTTATCCTTGTCCATAATTGAAATACAGGCTTACATATATAGTCTTTTTCTATAATTAAAATAATTGAGCTATAGTCTTACTGGACTTAGGGGTTGAGGAAATATGAGTCAAAATTTACAGGACCAAATGTGATGGAAACAACATGAAGTCTTCTCTTGAGCTAAATGAGACTTGAGCTGCACTGGGCATGGCCCAGTTTTCAGAGAATGTATGTTTATTTTCAGTATGAGACCACTATGAGGCTACCAAGAAGAAATGATGCAAACAGAGGTGGCATTAACAAATACTTGTGCACAGAAGAGGGAGGTAATCTGCACAGCCAGACCACATCTGGAGTATTGGATTCCTTCCTGGGCATTGACTACACAAAGCATGCCAGGTTGGGGTAAATAGGAAAGGGTCTGGAAACCTAATCACATAAGGGGATGTTTGGATTGGAAAGGAGAATAGTGAAGAGACATTTCAAATATCTGAATGGTAGTCAAATAAAACAGGAAAAAATGTGTCCTCTGTAGCTTCATAGCAAGGAAATCTCAGTTGATTGAATGTAAGGAAAGCTGAGTTCCAGGGCTGGCTCTGCTGGGACCTTGCTGTATGCCCTTAGATGAGTCACTAAAATGATTTGAGATTCAGTTTACAGACTGGAAAATGGAGTCATTTTATAACAGATAAAGCCATTTTTCAAACAGAATGATTTTCTTCAAAATGCGTTCTTCATTGCCAGAATTATGGAAGCAGAAGGCACTTGCCCATATCTCAGGATCCGGTAGGAGGGACTGCTCTAAGAAGTCAGAGCTATACCCTAAGCCACTGCCAATGTGCATATCAGAAGGGATAAGGCTTTCATCAGATCTTGGTACTAGATACACTACATGCTACTACTAAATACAGAGTACACAGTGGACTGGTATATGGATGAGTGGATGGATGAACAACAGACAGATAGGTGGCTGCCAAGATTCTATGAGTCCAGAGAGCAGGGGCATTTGTGTATTCTCTACACCTTAATTCATTCAGTAAATTCCGCATGGTTAAAGCATGTTTTGTTGTCTTAAGATTTGTGGACACTGAAGTGTTTTTAAATGTGCTGACATTTAAAATAACTTTGATGTGTGGTTTTGCTCCAGGCAATCATTACAGTGTATGGGTATAGAAAATATTCTGACTAAGAAACTTGTTTATGATGGCTTTCATCAGAATTATAACTGTTGTAGACTACTTATCTTAATGTCAAGCTTTTAAGTTCAAAGTCATCTAGTTATAATTTATTACTATTGATTCTCTAGGGAAAAAATTCACGACCCTGTGTTGCTCTGTATGATCTTATCTTTTAAACACACACATCAGGAGATAGCTTGCCTTCCCTCTGGCTTAGATGTTGCCTGACCCTAATTTGCATGTGGAATCTATGTGATTAAGCTATGTATCTGGCATTTTGATGTATGCATGAGGACCAAAGAAAAGGCTCCAGCAATATCAAGCTGGGGTCAGTATAATCTAGAATTCTAGAGCTGCACTCTCTGGGCTCAGATCTTAACTACCACTTCTAGTTAAAGCAGCAAACACAAATGATTTAAGCTCTCTTCCTCTGTTTACTTTCCTTGTGGTTATAGAAAGAATTAAATGAGTTAGAATATGTGAAATATTTAGCATTATTGCTGTAGTTATCATTAAGCTATAGGATACTAAGAAATCACAAATAAACTGATATTTATCTAAAAATAAGACATAATCCTAGTTAGACAGAAACACCTAAACTCACCTGCACAATTGAAACCTTCCTCTAGTTTGCATGATCTTGAGCACCCATCTCCACTCAGTAGGTCTCCATCATCACACTCTTCTCCCAGATTCCTAGAAATGCACATAAAAAAAACAACTTTTCTTGTTTAGCTACCATTAGTTTATTTAAATTCTTTGTTGTACTTTAAAGTTACAAGGGATGTCAAAGTTTCAGATTAGAGAATGTTTTCACAGAAAGCATTAAACAAATATTTAAACTGGATGCAACATAACCAACAATGATTTATGAGTATGGCCCGTGGGTTGTGGGGATTCCTAGAAGTCAAGTGGCTTATGGCTCAGAAACACCTAGGAGATACTCATAAGTGTCCCAAAAGTGTATCTGGTAGAGAGTCTTCACTAGCCCTATGGTAAAGAGAGTCATAGAAATAGCTGATCTGTATCCTAAAATTTTGTTGAATTTATTAGTTTTGATGCTTTACAAAATCAGCAACATTGTTCTACACTAATAACCAATTATATGAAATAAAAAGTAAGAAAGTAATCCCACTTATGATGAAAACTATACAACACCGATGAGAGAAATTAATAGAACATACACAGACACACACATACACACACACAAACACACACACACACACACACACACACACACACATCCAGTGTGGAGGGATTGAAAGGATCAAGATTGCTAAAAAGTTCATACTATCAAAAGTGATCTATCTATAGATGCAATGAAATCCTTTTCAAAGTACTAATGGTATTCTTTATGTAATTTTTAAAAAATCATAAAATTGATATAAAGCCACTAAAATCCCCCAAAGAGCCAAAGTACTCTTGAGTAAAGAGAAAAAAGCAGAAAACATTATACTTACTGATTTCAGAATGTATTATAAAGGTAATCAAAACAGCATGGAACTGGCATAAAAAATAGTCCCATAAACCAATGGAACAGATCAGAAAGCCTAGAAATAAACTCGAGTGCGTAGCTAATTGATTTTTGACAAAACTTCTAAGAACACATACTGAAGGAAGGGCAGACTTTCAAGAAATGGTGCTGGGAAAATTAGACATCCACATATAGAAAAACGAAACTAGTCTCAAGGATTTTTGTAACTAGTGGGAGATGGAGACTAGTTCCATTTTTCTATGTGTGGATGTCTAATTTTCCCAGCACCATTTCTGGAATCTGCCCTTTCTTCATTGGCTTGACACTAGAACCTTAAAGGGAACAAGCATTGCTTAGCATCCCAGGAACAGAAGTTTCACAACCAACTGAAAAGTTAGTTGTTAATGCTATTATGTCTCATAATTATTTTAAAAAAGAAAATGAGAATGTAAAAGATGTTAAAAGGACATGGGAATGGAGATAGTTTGCAAAATTGAAAAAAATGAGAAAGCCTAAGCAAGTGATGAAGGTCTATTTAGGTTTGTTATATATAAAGGATGAGACAAAAATAATATATATAATCTTAAAATTTCTATGGTCATAGTTTAGTCAACTAGTTTAACGAACAAAATATTTATCTAGTCAATGTTTATCTGAGACTATTTGTTTTTTTTTACCCAAGCCTTATCAATATAGCATGTGATAATTAAAAGTACCAGACTGGTGGAACTAACCTTATTGGATGTTTAACAGCCATATTTTAAGGCCTATACTAATGTGGTCAGAGGGACTTAAAGGAAACTTTTTGCCCCTTGCCCTCCAAGGGTGACCAAGTGCCAGGGGACTATAGAGCATCTCTCAAAATATCCTGTAACTATGGTGAGTCACTTGTCCTCTTGTTCAGGGAGGCCATGGAGACCACATGAGATGGACTTGAACCAGTGGCCAGTCTGCAAAGAAGAGAGTCAACTTAGAGGAAACATCTCATTCATGCTTCCAAGTGAAGCCAGACATGATCGAGCAGGACCTTTGACTTATCGTCACATAAATGGAATTGGTAAAAAGAAAGGAGCCAGGAGCTCCTCCCAAGCCCACATGGCCCCTGAGGAACAGATCCTCAAATGACCTTAAGTGTAAAAATAAATTGATTTATTTGGACCAACTGTATGGTCTTAAACACCCAAAAGTAAAATATAACCAAAGAATAAAATCATCAGTGTATTTCTTTAAGAGTTCAAGGGATTATACTTCCCAGACATTAGACTTAGGTGTATATAAGAAATTATTTAAACAATTATTTTTCATTGATGATTTTGTTCCTAGCCAGAAAGTGCTGCTCAGATGTAAGACTTCAAATCTTGGTCTCCAATACTGTGTTGCCCACCTGTAGTTAAGGGAGACAACCAGTTATTGTTCTAAAATGATGGACAAATTTGTTTTCTCCCCCTATTTAGAAGCCTTTGAGAGGGAACTGACACTGATTCTAAGTACTCCAAAAGCTATCAAAATGCCTGATAACAAATCCTGAATCCATCACCCTAGAGTCCAGCCTTAGAAGGCAAAATAAAAATGGGGAAGAACACAATAGAGGGATGCTTTTGGAAGCCCTTGTCAAGAAACTCCAGTGGACTCTCATATGAACATTTGAAAATTGCCTTATTCTGACTTTTTTCTAGTTCCCTGTCTAGAACTTGTAATGCTAATTACTCTTGCCTTTACCACTCCCATTCATGATTCAAGAACTTTCTTTTCCCCATAACGATAAGAGTTATGTAATTTTGGAGTCTTTTAGATAGATACACTGAAGGGGTGCTCAAATTGCCTCACCCTACATCCCTGTTCAACATGGAAGAAGCCAGAGCAGTCTGTGTCCTGATTCCCGATTGGCAATTTGGGTAACCTCTTCAGAGGATGGCATTATAAGAATGGGAGGTAGGAGCTGGGCTTGGTGGTACACGCCTTTAATCCCAGCACTCGGGAGGCAGAGGCAGGCAGATCTCTGTGAGTTCAAGGCCAGCCTGGTCTACATAGTGAGTTCCAGGCCAGCTGGGGCTACAGGGAGACCCTGTCTCAAAAAGACCAGAAAAAAAAAAAAAGGCTAGGAGGTAGGAATTGGCTAGGCAGTTAGGGTAAAAAGACCCCAAAGAAAAATAGCCAATTTCTTGGCTAAAAGTCAAAATGTCCTTGGGCCTCTTAGCAACATACTCTGTTCCGAAGGCCAAAAAGACCAAAAGTATTTGGGAGCTTGTATCTAATCCTTGAAAGACTTTAGGGTTACCCCTTCAGAGGGGCGATGTTAGAGTAGCCAAAAGCCCCATAAAAATAAATAAATGAAAAAAGAGGAAAAAAAAGAAAAAACATGATGGGGAGACATGGGAGGTGTTGGAGGGGAGGGAGTGGGTATGGATTTGCTCAATACACCTTATATTCATGTATAAAATTCTCAATAAAGTTTTTGTAGAAGTTAAAAAAAAATCAACTCAAAATGGAGTATAAACTTAAGGCCTGAAACTATGAAACTGCTAGAAGAAAACATGGATATTTTAGACATGGAATGGGCAAGTAGTTCTGTAAAAAGGTCCTTGAAGCAAGGAAACAAAAGAGAAACTAGATAAGTGAAAAAAGGTTTTACACAGTAAAAGTAACACTCAACAGGGGGAAGAGACATCCTATGGAATGGGAGAAAATATTTAGAGACCACACATAAGACAAGTAGTTAATATCCAAATATAGAAGAGTCCAAAATTCTCAGTGGTGAAAACGAAATAACCTAACCTAAAAATGAGTAATAGACATTTCTCAAAAGAAGACATACAAGTGGGAAGTAGCTATATTAAAAATGCTCAATATCACTAATCATCAGAGAAATGGAAATTTTAAAAAAGGCAATATGTACCCCACTCAAATAAGAATGAGAATTGCCAAAAGACTAAAGACAACAAGTTCTAGAGAGGATGTAGAGAAAAAGGGAACTATTATATTCTGTTGAAAGGAATATAAATTAGTACAATTATTATAGAAAACAGTATAAATGTTCCTCAAAAATTAAAAATAGAATTAATAGAGGCTGAGGAGACAGCTCAGTCAGTAAATTGCTTGGTTTACAAGCAAGAGAAACTGAGTTCAATCCCCAGAAACTACATAAAAACTTGGGCATGGTGGTGTGCTACAATCTCAGTGCTGGAGAAGTGGAGGCAGGCAGATCCCTGGGGCTTGCTGGCCATCTAGCCTAGCCTAATCAGTGAGCCCCAGGGCCCAATGCTTCAAAAAAACAAGGTGAACAACTCATGAGAAACAGCACCCAAGATTGACCTCTGGCCTCCACACACATATGTATACACACATACACACACACACACACACACACACACACACACACACACTCATACATATACACACACAAATAGCATTAACATATAATCCACCTATCCCACTCCTGGGTGTATCAAACGAAAATAGAATTAGTATGTCAAAGACACCTGTACTACTGTATTCACTGCAGCATGATTCATAGTAGCTAAGAAATAGTACCACCAAATTGTCTATCAACTGGTGAATGGAGAAAGAAAATGTGCTACATATGCCTAATAAAATATTACTCAGTCTCAAAGGAAAATGAAATTCTGTCACTTGGAACAGCATGGATGGATTATTATATTAAGTAAAATTAGCCAGACACATAAAGAGAAGTACTTTATGGTCTTGCTCATATTTGGAATATAAAAGTTGATATTGCCGGGCGTGGTGGCAATGCCTCTAATCCCAGCACTTGAGAGGCAGAAGCAGGCAGATCTCTGTGAGTTCAAGGACAGCCTGGTCTACATAGTGAGTTCCAGGACAGCTGGGGCTACAGGGAGACCCAGTCTCAAAAACACCAAAAAAAAAAAAAAAAAGCTGATATCATCTAAGTTGAAAGTAGAATGGAAGTTAGGAGAGGCTGAGGGAGGTTAGGAAAAGGAGGATGGGGAATGGCTAATCAATGTGTTCTGAGTTACACTTACATGGGGATAAGAAGTTCCGGTGTGCTACAGCACAGTGGACTAAGACAAATATGTACTATGTGTTCAAGAAGCAAGAAGAAGGAATTTTAATGTTTTCATTGAAAGAAAGTGATCTAGGAAGAGAGGGTTATGTTTAACCTGTTAAATATTATACAATAGCAAATAGCAAAATATCATCCGAGAATCCACCAGTATGTATGTCTTTATGTTTTTACGTATCAGCAGTAAACAAATGTAATTTAAAAGTCATCGATCATTTTTTAAAACACAGTTGCTCTTTCTAGGCACAGAGGTACATGATCATAGCAATCTGGAGGCAAAGAGGACTGCAAATTCAAGGACAACCTGGGCCACATAATCCATTCTAAGTTGCTCTTAGATACACAGAAAGACCCTGTTTCACAAAACAACAAAACCAAACCAAGCAGAAATTGAATTGATGAGAAGAAAGCTTGGCCGGACTGTGTTGTTCTGTTTTCTATTCATTTTATATGATCTGTCATGTTTTGTTTAATCATCTTTTTCTATGTAGAAGAATTTGTAAAAATAAAAATTTTGCAGAATTCAATCTCCTGTTTATATACAGTTAGTAGTTTTAAGTAGCCTCAGTTGTGGCTGGCTCTCAGTTCTTGGCATTTTCAGGACTCAGGTTACTGTCCTTACTCCTTACTACCACCTAGTGGCATCCACCATATATTACAAGGGAAAAGAAAACCGCCATTTTTGAACCTCTGAACTCTGATGATATACTGACAGGAACATGCAGCAAGTTATGAGAACAAAGTAGAAAAATTCTAATTGAAACTCCCCTGAAAAGGTAAGATTGGCCATTATAAAATGGATGTGGGTTATCATTTTTTCTACTTGACTTCAATATGTCCCAAATGGCAAATATTTTAATTCAGTAGATAAAGAAATTTGGGATTCTAAAAGGTATTCAGACCCAGCATATCACAAGTAGCTTCATCCATTATTCAAAATACACCTTATGAGGATGAATTAAAGACTAATTAGACATGGGAATATTTTAGATGGATTAAAGTATGCTGTAGGTGCAACAATAATCATATTTTAAATGGTAATATGAAGATAAGGAAAGGAAAGGTAGGAAAAAGTATTATTAAAAATGTAGGGATAGTATTATTGACATAATTAAGTTTGAGGCTGGGTATGCCTCAGTAGAAGAACATTTGCTTAGTTTATAAAAAGCCTGGGTTTAGCTAGATGTGGTGGCACGCCTTTAATCCCAACCCTCAGGAGGCAAGTGAATCTCTGTGAGATCAAGGCCAGCCTGGTTTACACAGCAAGTTCCAGGCCAGGTGTGGCTACAGAGAAACTTGTCTCAAAAAAAAAAAGCAAAACAAAACAACAAACAAATAAAAAGCCGGGGTTTAATCCCCAGAACTAAAAAAAGAAAAAAAAAAAAAAAAGAGATTTCACTTTCTTTTTACACATAAAGGCAGCAACACAGGTCATTAAAAAGAGTCCTCCCGAGGTACCTAATCATCTGTGGGATATCAAGAAGTCTCCAAAAGCTCTATACCTCAGTTTCGTCATTTGTGGAGAAAGGATTACTCTACATTAATGTTTCTCTACCTAGAGTGAACAAATTTATATTTTCTCTTGAAAGAAATTCAAACAATACATCATGTGTATCGCTGTGCAGTGCTAACCAATAGAAATCTAGTAAGAGTCACACATATAATTTTGAACTTTTTAGTAGTCATTTAAGAAGCAAAAGATACAGTTAAAATTAACTTTAATTTTATTTTTCATTAAATTCAAGATACTTAAAATGTTATAATCTGAATTTGTAGTAAGTATAAAATGAATCTTTCTGTGTCTTAAACATTTGAAATCTACTGGACTCACATCCAAGATCATTTGGGGAACACAAATTAGACCCAATAGGCCTTTTAAAAACAAAATATTAATAGGGAACATGAAGCTGCTTTTTTACTTTTTTTATTTGTTTGTTTGTTTGGTTGTTGTTGTTTGACAGGGTCTCCCTAGTCCCAGCGTGCCTGGAAGTTACTATGTGGACCAGGCTGGCCTAGAGCTCACAGAGATCTGCCTCCTGAAGGCTGGTATTAAAAGCACGTGCCACCACACCTGATAAGGGGACATGGAGTTGGAGGGTTAGTAAGGTACGAGTAGAAATAAAAGAGGGGTTCTGAATATGGCCAAAACACATTGCATGAAAGTCTCAAAGAACTAACTAAAACATTTTTAAAATGCATTTTCACCATATCTCACTTCAAATACAATTCTATAATATTTTTTAGTTGAAAAAGTAAGTTCATATACCCAAGTTGTTCCAAACTTTCAAATTATAAAGATTTTCCAACAACTGAATTGTTTATTTTTAAACTAAATTACTTTAGATTAAGTTTAAATAAACATTGCATATCTTAGTTGCATTTGCTGTATTTCAAAGTCTTAAGTGCCACACATGTTAAACCGCAGAACATACTGGGAAGATCAATTCCTGAATGAGCTTTGCTCAAAGTTCCAGAACCCTTCCTTGTGGCTGGGTGATAGTCTTCTATCCAGGAGGAATCAGGTGAGTCAAATCATTTACATGATTATTTTTTGTTTTGTGTGTATTGAGGTGCAGGAAGATATCTGAAATTCCAAAATATCTTTCCATTGAACAATAGTACTAATTACACAGCCAAGAAATGCAAGTAGAAGTTTAAGAAGTACATTTTGCTACAGAGCCTTGTGAAATCCAGTAGCCAAAATGTTCTTCTACCTCTGGTGAAGCTGCTTCAAGGCCTAAGACTGACTGTGGTTACCAAATTAGGTAGAAGGCCTTGCACACACTTTCTGTTACATACACCTAGGTAAACATGGCATCCTGAGGCCTTGAGGTGGCCACCAACAAGAAAAGAGATAACACATAGGATGTGCTAGGAATGAACAAGAAGAAATGAGCAAAGTTATCATATTTAAGTGAACTTCTAATTCATAGTACTTTTTCTTCCAGCCTTACACTCCCAGAAACTTTATAGAAAGTCTAGGTTACATGAGCATTAAGGATGAGTTGAATGAAGAATGACCAACTGCCCTAGATTTCCTGAGATGGATATATTTCAGTGATAAACCTGGAAATGTTCCAGGCAAACCAGATGAATTAGTTTCCTAGATCGATATCACAGAACAATAGGAAAAAGATCATGGAATGTTAAAGAACAAAAGGAGTAATTCCATCTTCCTCTTGGTGATGTTTATAGAAGAGCTAGAAACTGTACAGTAAATAGGGAGCCAAACCATCATCCACCTTTACTGCAATCACATCCAGTTAGTAAAACTGAAGAGTCAGCTAGTATTATAGGAGCATTAGTCCAAAACATATCCTCCTTCGGTATTATTTAATAAGTAACCATCATCTGCATAAATTCCTCCCTGCCTTACTGCCCTCCTATTCTTCACTAAGGCCCTAAAGGGCCCCCAAAGAATCAGCCTCAACATCTCTGTAATATGGAATGGGCTTTAAATAAAAATGAGTCCCTTCAGAACTGTGCAGATGCTAGTGACCTTGTAATTTGTACATGAGAATTATAGTCTTTGTTTCCACACTTTTCTAAAGAAGTCAAGCTCAACTAAAGGCTGAGCCTCTTTGTCAGAGCACGTATGAACGAGCTGGTTCACACTGTCCTACGCAGACAACACTCACCTTGTCACCGTTCCATCTCCACAGTAAGGACCTCCAAGGATGTGATTCAGAGGAGGTGAAGCTTCTCCTAGTTCTTCTCCAGCTTCAGCTTGAACTTGGTACTGATACATCTGTCCAGGAGTGACCTCCCTGTGGAAACCAATGGGTTTGTGACATGATGGCCACCTGCAAAGTGAGACATGCCCTGGGCCTTTGTAGATGGCTCAAATGAATTTAAAGGAACTATTATGGAAACATAACTGTTAAACATGCATTTATCTGAAACAAAGATCAGGGCTCTGTCTTATGAGCAACTTGGTGTTTGAATCCATATTTATTTTTATATTCCTTACATATTCTACATTAATAAATGTGCAATAAGTGCTTGTTGAGTTAACACAAAATATAACAGTTCCAGGATGTTTTTAATCAAGTTAATGCAGAACAACTATTTTAAAATGAGTACTCTGTCTTTTTAAAGTATTCAAAGAAACTGGTGATGAGAATTTTAGTGTATGTGGTCAGTCAAGGCCCTACTTGGATTTATGGATCACAGTTTTCCTTCAAGAGAATTCTTGTCTTGAAAAACTGAAACCTTAGGAGTTAGAACAATCTAATAGAAAGAGGTAAGATCACCATTCATCACTACTTGGAGGATGCAATAAACTTCCAATTAGAAATGCATTAAATTTATCTCTACCTCCAGATATTAAAACTGGGGTTGTTGCAGTTGATGCAAGAGATGGAAGGAATTTATCAGACTCTCTAATCCCTAGTATATTGATTAGGTGGGGAGTATATGAGACAAGACATTTATTCAGCAGGAATAGGGCTTACTAAAAGGGCTGTTGGTTCCAAAGACAAATTCTGCCCTTGTCTCAATTTTATCCAGTGCTTGCTATGACTGGAAAAGTACCACCCAAGTCAAGCTAGGATGGAAGCATTTAGGAGGACAAAATCTCAACGGATTATTAGGAGTGCCATGAGTAGCCACCATGAGTCTCTTGCCAACACTCCCTTCTTTAACAGACTCTTTAACTCAACCACAGAGCCACCATTCCCACACCTGATGTAGCAACCAGCAAACAGGAAATGGCTTGGGGTTTTTAAAATACCTTGGAAACCATTTGTACTGGACTTTGGGTATTTTAATAGGGAAGATACCTAAATATTAAAGACTTTAAAAATTTCAAATTAGCTTTCCTTTTTGCAGAAAGAACTCTCTCATGACAGTGGCAGATGTTGTTTCTAAAACAAACCAAATTTGATATCCTAATTAATACTGATAGTTTCCTTTATGGAGTGGTTTCTGTAGGGCTCCTTGTCTGACCATGTACAAAACTCTTATACTGTTCCATGGTTAGGGAAAGGGTTAGATAGAAATGTTAGCATGTGTTTACTCGTCTTGGGGAAAAAATAGCAGCAAGTAGCTCAGGCCTTCAGTGACTTGCGTTTGCAAAAGGCAGTGTTCTACTAAGGAAAGGTTGGAAACCAGATTCAGTTCGAAAGTGGATTTTAATCCCAAGGCTGCCATTTTCTAGGTCATCAACCATGTTTAAGTCAAGCTTTAATTTCTTATTCATGAAACAGAATATTATTAACCTTAAACATTTGTGTGTGAATATCATTCTACAAGGAATATCATATCATTAGCCTTCCTACTGGAGCTAAACTATGCTAATTTTTCTTTTTAAATCTACCTTATGATCTAAAGTCCACTCACATTAACTATTTCATCATTTAATTATCCTCTGATTCTAAAGCAGAGAGCAAACATGGAAAGGACACCGGACTGGAGCTGGACATTCTCTTCTGCTTTGTGTAGCTGCGGTAAGCTACCAAATGGCCACCCCACCCAGGATGCACACCTCGATGGTGTGACTGCTGCCCCTTCTTTTGAAGGGGGACAGTTTATTTTGCTATGCCTTGAATCTGGAATTGACCGTGTCTCTTACTTGACCTAGTGGAACATTATCAAGAGTATTTATAGCAGAGATTGGAAAAGTGCAACTGGTTGTGGGTTTTCCCTCCCTGGCTCTCAGAACCCTCTTACCACCCTGAGAAGCAGTCCAGGCTAGACCATGAAAATGGAGGTCCTGTTTCAGCCATGTCAGCTGTCTCCACTGAAGTCTCCAATATGCACATAGTATCACCCTGGGCTCAAGCAAGCAATCCAGATAAGATCACCCAGCCCATTCATAGAATCATGAAATTAAATTTGCTGTTCTAATCTACTGTACTGTCTGATGATTTCTAATGCAGCAAAAACTTAACTAATAAAAAATGCCTTAAAGTTTTACTTTACCCCAATTCTGCCCTCCAGGCAATCTCTGAGGAAGATTAGTTAGTAGAGGGAATTTGTCTTTGGATATACTACCCTCCTAGGTCAGACAATGAATTCTTTGTATGTAATGACCTTATCTCAGTCTACATCTTCAACACTGAGCATGCTGTGCCAGAGGCACAGTGGAATTCACTAAATACAGAAAGAAAGCTCATTAAATAAAATAAAGGAAATCAAGAAGGAAAAGAAAGAAGAGAAAGAGGGAGAAATAAAAAAGGGAGAAAGACTGAGACATGCATTAGGGAGCAGTCACGAGACTGCTAACATCTGAGGACCTCTGGCCTTTCTGCTCAGCTGTGGAAGTCGACTCTCACTTGAAAATTATGGGAGCCATAGTAGATTATTAGAAAGCCGCAGCAAGGAATTCAAACTTAGGTTGTTTAAGACAGGAGAATTTATTCTAATCAACTTATTAGTGATAACTGCATTCAGTTCACTGAAAGACCTCACATATTAACTTTTTGCCTGTGATCATAGTGATGGCATTCATAATCAGAGCATTTGCTTGTCCCTTTTTCTGAAATATTTCAAATGTCACTTAGGATAAACTCTTCCTCCAAACACTTCTCCATCTAAGAGAAGGTCAGAAAAGTAAAACATGGAAGCAGAAGGAACCAAATGGACCCAAAGACCCAGGAGGCCCCATGGTTTACAGGATCCTGCTGCCCAACTTACATGTCTGTGAACTTCCTGTGAGGATGTGTCACCACCATGGGCAAGCCACTGGAAAAAGGAGGCTCCCGAAGAACGTGGTACCTCACAGGCCTGCACCCAGAGCACAAGGGACTATGGGGCTGAGAAGTCAGGAGCGCAGCATCAATCTCCATTCGTTCATCAAAGGTGTAGACTTTCACCCCCAAAACCTTTCCATCCACATGAAGTTTGATGGTGAGCGGCGTGTCACAGAAAATGTTTAAAGGTCCCAGGTGCACAGAATCTTTGTGTTCTAGCAAGATCTCTGTATCAAACAGTGCCCGGGAGGAATCCATGGAGAGGTAAGTGACCCAGAGGGTGAGGGTGTCAGCTTGGACTGGGTGTTGGAAGAGCAGCTCCAAGCTACAACCTTCTGCTGGGCAGGGCACAGTCATGTTCATGTGGTACAGGTGGAGCTCAGGACTCCAGGCCTGCAAGCTAGGCTCACAGGGCTGATCCACATCAGGAGGCCCTAGGGAGATGAACAGAAAAATCCATCAGGAACCACCATCCTTAAAAGCATAAAAATGAGAGGCTATATCATCAAACAGAAGAATGAAGGGGACCTGGAATTCTCACAGAAAACAAATTGCTTTGTGGATTATCTTAAGTGCTATTAAGGACAAAAGTATAGAAGTGAAATGTCTGCCCTTAGCGCTCTACCACTTGTACATGGTGCCTTTTAACAAGACAGTTCAGCAAGGAACTAGAAATGGGACAACCAGATTCTCGACTGATGCAGAGAAATCAAGCCATGTCCTTAAAGAAATTTTGAGGAAAGGAGAATTATATACACTTTATTTTTAATGAACTATGATAAATGAATATTTCTGAAGCTCAATGCTAAGTTCAACTTGTCACTACACTTTTTATGGTCCTACTTACAAAATTTTAATTCTCCGAGATCCCACCTTGACACCTTGACTGTTAGCCAAACTTTAAAAACATACATTGCAATTTCCCTTTCAGTTCTAGTATGTGTGTGCAGGTAAGTAACCATGTGAAGGAGACTATGAACAGGAACCATAAATACATACAGTTGGGCAGGAAAGAAAACTGGACTCAGTAGCCAAGTAAAATGCAATAATAAAAAATCAAATTTCACAAATACTTTAAGGACATTTCAGTGGAAATCATCCAAATGGTGTAGGTTTTTTTTTTTTCTTGTGTCACATGAAATTGAAGAAAAAGAACTGAACGAGAAATCAGAAGAATGAGGCTCTTCTGTGCACTGTACCAGGAGCTGTGTGGCTCCATTTTTTATTTATAAATAAGCACTAATATTTAACCTCCATCTTATTATGCATCTGTGCGTGTGTACATGTGTGTGTATGTATTTAAAATATGATCTAACGGCTTTCACCCTTTCAAAGAAAAAGTAGGCCAATTTTTCTTAGCAGAATTTGTTAATGCTTATGCAAATACTAACCAATCAAAGGTCCTTGAAATCCAACCCAACAGCAGCGCTTTCTGACAGAAAGTTTTTATTATGACTTCATATGAAATAGAAACTCAAAGTGTTGCTTTGGTTTGCTTCAAGATATAAGAACTAGAACCCAGAACTTTGAGTTCCTTTTCCTACTTCCAGATAGCCTTGGACATCCCCTTCCCCTAAATAAAAAGAAAACGGTTCTGGATCAAGGGGTCAAACAGGCATTAAAGTTCCAGCACTGACTAGTTTGCCACAGAAAGGGTTTGTATAGACTGCCAATCTCTAAATGAGTTCAATGCTCTAAGTTTCATATTCACTTTCCATTCGTCCCTGAAAACTCTCATCTGAAAGGGTCAGATATGCTCAGTCCTGCCAGTTCTCTCCTTCCTGCTTTCTCCTTGAGGCTCTGTCACTTAATAACTACCTAGGAGCCCAAGGTGACACTGTGTGGGGTTTGTAGACTTAGGGGTCACTGTTCTTGTTTTTCTTGTTATAGTTGAGACTTTAATTCAAATAGACTGTTTCTAAGACATATTTATTAATAATTTTGTGGATATTAATAAATACAAAGGGGGAGCAAAGTCAAACAATAATGATCAGCTGAGCCTTGACGATGGTCGTGAGGAAAGAAATCAGACCCTCTGTCTGGAAGGGTTAAAAGTCACGTCAAGAGCATTTACTGGACCGGTACTGAAGACTCATGTTGAAATTTGTCCTCTGGATCCTGATATGCATATGTGAGTGAGTATGTTACTCTTTGAGAATTTGGGGGAGGGACAGGAAATGAAATAACGAAAAACATCTTCTCCTTTGCAGAGCCTAGCTTAGATCATATTCAAAGCACAACCACTACCAGTGATTAATAGACTCATAAAATAGCATAGATGAGAACGCTCCATATGGAACACCTAGTTCACCCTGCCCCCCACACAGATATGCTCAGCCAGTGTGTGAGTGTTCCCTGCAATGTGTTCTCTATTACTCTCCTGATATAGAGAAGTGCTTAGCTTATATCATCATGAGCCAAAGCTGCTCGGGGGACAAGTAGGTGTATGTAACATTACTGGCCCCTAGATCACCCTGCGGTCACCCCGCAGATCAACTTCTCTTATCCATCTGTGTTAAATGCTGATCTCTGCATCATCACAGCACTGTACTCCCACCTTACAATCATATAAGGCATTCATCACAGACACCGGGCAGTGTTTCCAAGACCCTGGAGATATCCAGTGATCACGCCCACACCCATGCTTACATCCCCACACAAACCACACACACACACACACACACACACACACACACACACACACACAATTGCCTGTTCCCCACTATGTCACTGATCCATCCTTTGTCTCCATTCCCATGCTCAGTGGCCCTGAGGCATAAGTCAAAAACACCATGGTACTTTACCCACGGCCTCCTCTGGAGTCCAGTAACCTGAAGAGTCACACACCCGCCGGGAGGATGCCTTGTGCACATACTGACTGAACATTCCATCCTCAGTGCAGGCACCACAAACACTGCCAGGGGCCCTGGGAAGGCAAATGATAGGGATGGTAGTGCTGTTTTGATAAACTAAGAGAAGGAGACCAGGAAGACTTTAGGTAAGAAAGGTGTCACAGAACAGTCAGGCCTGAGGGGAGAAATGGAAATACCAACATTTTTCAACTTATGTCCTTCACGTGTAGACCTCATCCTCACAGGACATCATCTGAAATCATCTGAAGGTCACAAAGGAAAAAAATTTAACAAAGTAATAAAGGAGGCCTGTGAGATGCAGGCAGGAGGAACCATTAAACATAAAAGTTATATTCTGAATCAACATAAGACTCCTCTCTAAAATAACTCTCATGAAGGCATAAAACACCCCCATCAACCAACCAAAACAATGATTTTTAAAGTAAAACTGTTAACTATATGTGTTCTTATGCTTTAAACTCCCTACTTTTACTTACACACATAAAATAAAAGGCATATGAACAGGAATGCTATTGATTCTCCATTGCCTGTATCAAGACTCAGGCTCATCACATTAGCTCCTACCTTACCTCTTGCAGTTCCTTCAAGAATTTGATATTCATAGTACCATGAGCATATTGCCAGGCCAGTAACATACCATGACCTCCCCACAGCTCCCCCCAAATCCTTTATCCTTATGACCGAATTGTCCTTTCCCTTACGACCAAAAGATGCCTTTTCAAGCATCCCTGCTTTGCACACTCCTAGCCACCTATTCAGATGTGGCCTTTGTAGTGATGCCTGGCCCTCCTCCTCAGAGTGTCCAGCACTTGCTCCTCTATGGACTCACACCCCCAGCTGGCTCCTCTCCTAGGACACCGAGATGTGGTGCTGCACATTTCCAACTGTCCTCTTTTGAATCCCTGGCCTTTGGGTGGAGATGGGCTTGTTCTGCTCCCATTCTGTTTTAAGCGGTCAATACAGGACTGACTTCAGGAATCCTGCTGCAAAGACCTGTTCTGTGAATGGCTTTGCGATGATTAATACAGACTATGAAGCGCATTTACAAGCACCACATTTGGAGTAACCAGAATTTATACAAAGAATTACTTACAGCTAATAACAAGGGCCAGCTACTTTCTGAGGCTTGTGTCTCAGAACTGGAAGGTTTTTAGAAAGCCAGCTATGAGCAGCACATCTGAAGTGCAAGCATAAGATAGAAGTAGCATATCGCCAGCACATATGACTAGCATCTTGGCATCTTATAATGTGTTAATAAGACCATATTATTAATCAAAGGTAACAATTATGACAGCAATTCCCATTTTTTAAGCACCTTACATATCTGGTCTTGTGTTTTTCATAACTTTTAAAAATCCTTGTAATGATATCGTGCTCACAAATGAGAATATTGGTGCTTAGAGAGGTTGGGTCAATTGTCCAAGGTCACAAATTTCTTCACAACTTTGAACAAGCTCCCAAATACAACCTAATGTCCAGTGTTTTGGCAATGAAAAGGTGTACTTAAGATTCATCCTCTGACTCCATGGAGTGCTCATTTCTAATGTGGACACAATTCCAAACCACATTTCCCTGATGCGCTTGGCCCTTTCGGGACTGCTGCAAGAGTGCGTAGCTGGGACTCCTCTCTGACATAAGGATTCCAAATACCTACAAGGGTGGAGTAAACAGAACTCCAGGCATGACACAAATTGCTGTGCATGTGACGTGAGTCTCTCCAACACACGTGTTAGGAGGCCTCAAAACTGTAGCCCACCTATCCGAGAAAAGGAAGCAAATTGCAGCCTTTTCTGCCAACAGACTCTCAGCAAGCCAGTTCTGATGTCTGCTTTATCGTAACATTTGTACCAGAGAGAGAATTGAAAGATTAAATTGTTTACACATGTTACATAAACTGATGTAAAACTTGGGTTTGCATGTACCCACACAGGACTTACTGTTGAGTGGGTCCAGCCAGAGCTACACAAGGTCACACTTGCAGGAAGATGATTCTTATACACATTGCATAGATGTGTGCTGAATCACCAAGGGAGCTCATGAGTGCCTGGGTGCTGATGACAATGCAGACTACTTAATAGTGTTGTGAGTTCTAAATGATGTCATGACTAAGCATGGGTCAAGGAATGAAGATTGTAAGAAAGCTGTGAATGTGGCTTTGAAAAAGGATTCACTGGCTTTATCTGATCCTCATCCCTTATCCTCTGCAAACCTCTAGGCTTTCAGTAAAGCCAAGGAGCAGGAGGACAAGCTCCAGGGTCATCAGTTCCTGAGCTGGACCCAGACAGTCACAGTGAAGCTTCTCAGAGAGGAGCAGCTGTTTGATCATTCCATAAGTATATGGGAAGTACAAATTGCATTCAGTGGGTTATACACACACACACACACACACACACACACACACACACACACACACGACAGAAAGTTGGGAGTGGTAGAGAGGTGGGAATGGATATGAGAGGAGTTGGGGGAAGAGTGAGGGGTTAATATGATCAAAATACATTGTTTGAAACTCTTAAAGAATTAATAAAAATATATTTTAATATTTTATTATTTTTATTTTATGTGTATGCATGTATCGCCTGCATACAGGTAAGTGCACCCCACAGAAGACAGAAGATGCTGTCGGATCCCCTGGAACTGGAGTTACCAAGAGTTGTTAGCTGCCATGTGGGTGTTGGGATTCGAACCTGGGTCTTCTGCAAGAAAAACCAGTGTTCTTAACCACTGAGCCATCTCTCCAGCCCCCAAAATATATTTTTAAAAAAAATAATTTTAAGCCGGATGTGGTGGCACACATCTTTAATCCCAGCACTTGGGAGGCAGAGGCAGGCGGATCTCTGTGAGTTCAAGGCCAGCCTGGTCTACATAGTGAATTCCAGGACAGCTGGGGCTACAGGGAGACCCTGTCTCAAAAAGACCAAAAAAAAAATAATAATAGTAATTTCAAAAGTAGCTATTTTCCTGCTAAGTAGAAAAGCTCAAAATTCAAAGCATTCAACCATTCCTACTCCTCATTTCTGAATTTCCAGTGAATTTCCCTCAAATCACCTGTGTTTAGCAGTGGGGTCTTGAACCAGCCCTGAATGTTCCCCTAAGCTTCAGATTTTTTTCTCAACTGTAGGAAGGAGTTGTGCTTACTGTAAGGACCACCTTAGACAAGTGCAGTCAAATATCTTGCACGGTGCCTCCCACATAGCAGGACTAAACAGATGATGTCTCACCTTGTTATTCAGAGTATGGATGGAGGCTTTGAGAGAGGCCAGTCGGCACAGGTCCTTTTCAGTTAAACCATATTCCCCATTAACACATTAGATCTCATTCTTTTTGTGGCTTTTTCCACTTTTTATAAAGAATTCCCTAAGACTCCATTATGCAAGCAGGCAAAGAGAATGAGAGCTAGCTTCGGGGACCATGCCTTTCTCTAATAAGCATGTATTACACATCTATTATGGTAGACAAGAATTCAAAATGTAACCCTGCCTCCATTCTCACTAGATGCCAATGGAGGGGGCACCAATTAAAAAGTGGACAATAATAACAATTCTATTAGATAGTGACCATAAGGCAGGATATGGGGTTCAGGAGGAAGCAGAGAAGGTGTTAGAAATGCAGAGCTGAGTTTTTATACTCCCTCACTTTCTCCCTTCACCCCAGAACTGACAAAAGGAACATGCCCTGCTTTCCTCCACACAATCACCACTGTGCAACTAGCAAGCCTTACCCTGCAGAGGAACAGCTGGAAAGACAGATGGACAATGCCTTGCCAAGTCTGCCAGGTGTCCCTTGCCACATTGACCTCTTGTGTGGAGTGAGCACACGCGATGAACCCCTAGTTTCCATGAGGGGCTCAGGACTCTGTAAAAGAGCTGAGCCCAAAGCAGGAGGAAGGAAGTGATCCTGGAAAGTCATGCACACATTTACATCACAATGGGAGTTCCCCTCACTTTCTATTCTTTCCTTCTTTTGAAAGGTTTCAAAGATAGTGGTAAGTACCTCTCTCACCTGTCATATACAACTCCACTAATAGGAGGTAGCCAATGGATAGTCAGGGACTTGTGGGTCTGCCCAATAACCATGGGTGGGATGGGAATAGGTGTGGGCTTTCTGCTTTCACTCCATTGCTGGTATACAAGGTCCAAATAGCAATGCATTCGGGCCACTTGGTTAGGGGTGAAGCTGTCAGTGCACTCATCATCTGTGAAGACAAAAGAGAAAGCACAGGTTGTGGCGTCTGTAACCTATAAAGTCCACCAAGGCAGGATAAATCTCACTTTGTTCTCAGCTACTTGTAGCCTTCAACACCTTGCTTTTATTAGATTCAGCAAACAATTGCTGAAAAAGAGCAAATCATTATTCACCAATAGAAAGCCAGAAGTGAGAAAGACAATACAGAAAGGTAGCACTTGCCTTTCCCAGCAAGACCATTACCTTAACCATCACCTGTCCCAAGACATGAAGCAAGAGATTGTACTGAGCAGATGGCTGTCTTCTGAGCAAACCACAAGGTGGCAGTGTTTCAGCAGAGGGCCTCTCACTTGTGTTGGGAATAACAGACACCTGCTTGAGACCATGCCCAAGGGGAGTGGTGGAGATGCTCAATGGAAAGAAAGCTGAAATATCCAGGAAGCAGCAGGAATGAGAATGGTGGCCCCAGTCTTCAGAACCAGAAAAACCTATCTCACTATCATCAGTCATCCTATCATATCTCTCTCATCTATCTATCTATCTATCTATCTATCTATCTATCTATCTATCTATCTACTATCTATCATCTATCTCTCTATCTATCTACTATCTATCATCTATCTGTCTATCATCTATCATCTATCTATCATCTATCATCTATCACCTATCTATCTATCTATCATCTATCTATGTATCATCTCTCTATCTATCTATCTATCTATCTATCTATCTATTACTTATGTATCTAACCATCATCTGTTAATCATCTATCTACCTATCTACCTCTTTTCATAAAGTTGAAAAGGGCTTATCTTAGCTTTAGGAACTTTTCCATTTAAAGCACAACAAAAACTGCCCCATCCTGCTTCTTCTGTTGCTTCTGCCTCACCTAAAGGTGGCACTAAAGGAGCTCTGGCCTCTCTAGCCTCTGCCTCTAGCAAGGCCTACTATGTCCTAGTTAGGGGAGACAGAGGTGCTGATGCTTATGAACTCAATGCACCTGAATTATTCACAACGATGAAACTTAGAGAACTTAGAGTGAAGCATAGTAAGGGGTCATAAGCAGAACCAGTCCTTGTTCTTCCTTTCAAAGCTATGAACAGGGTCTGATAGTCTTAAAAAAATAACTCAAAAAAATTATCCTCTTTCACTACTAGAGTAGGTGATCAAATCAAATCAGTTGTTAATTTTAGGCATAAATTTATGCCCACCATCGGAAGAATGCTTAATGTTAGGTTTTGCCAGAATTAAGGAAAGTGTGAGAAAGAAGGAAGAATAGTCCAGGAGATGACGTGAGAAGGGACAAGATCATACAACACAGTTTCCCTAGGGCCAAGAACGCACAATTTTAAAAATGAAATAACATCACTTGGCGCAGAGTACATGGAAGGCAAGCTAAGAGTCACTGCCTGGATAGTGTTGGAAGAAGAGAATCTGGCCTTTTAAATAGATTAAGATAAAAAGTTTCTTGTGCTTAAATTAAATTCAAGTAATTTTGGTAACTATCATAAAAGTAGTAAAGAAACATCCTAACCCAGAGACCTGTCCCCTCATCGCTATTGTACTCTCCCAGAGTCAGTGCCTGAATGAGAATCACTGAGTCCTAGAAGCTGAAGTGATCTCAAGAGGGCTTTGGCTTTGTCCCATTTACTAACATAAAAGGTGTTTCACTTTCAATATTTAATGGAAGAGAATCGAATTATCAAGACTTTTAAAAATCTTAGCATTTTGTCAAATTCTTCAAACACATGGGAAGTAAAAAAAAAAAGCCAATAAAATATATTTTAACTCTGTGATACGAATAATTATTCAGAAACCCCTCTGGTTCCTTTAGCTCCACCATGCTAATCTCTCTAGAGACTCTGCATAATCTTAACATAAAACAAAAGTATCAAAAGTCTGTGATGATACCTGTATAGCTCATGTAGTTGCTGAATGGAGCCCCTGGAAAGTGGGTGAGGCCGCAAGTATCATTAGCTGGCTCTGGGTCCCGACACAGCTTACTCTTGGGGGTGGGGGCAGTGTCAGCACAGAGGTCTCCTGTCTCCATGGATGGCACTGTCTCTCTGCAGGGGTCATCACAGGATTCTCTTTCACTGACCCCTTTGAATACATGGTAGAGTCCCAGGACATGCCCCACCTCATGGATCATGATGTTGGTATGGCCAGGCATGCCATAATAAGCTGGATTGAGGACAACGCCACCTGAAATGAAAGGTTTTGAAAACATCTTTGAGAATGAAATGAACAGCAGCCCTTCTGACAAACACCAAATGTTCCATTGCAGCCTCTGAGGAAACACTTTGCAACTAACTTCCAGTAGCATCCAACTACTTTTCTTCTTTCTTGTTGGAAACACCTTCAGAACTAAATGGATTAGCAAACATTTCTCGATCCTCTATCATGAATGAGTATGAGTTTAGAGATTAGAAATATCTGTAGGAAAGAGGGCCAGATCCTCAGCCTTAGGTGTACATTAAAATCATTTAGGGGAGGGAAAAAAATAAAGGCATAGATGCTAACTCCAATAAATTGTCCTCTAGATGTCTGAGGATGGAGTTCACAAGTCAGTATTTTTAAAACTTGGGTAGAGGACCATTGCTTGCAGCAGAAGCACATGAAGCTGGGAGCTGAGGAGAGGTAGGTCTGATATCAGGCCCCTCTACATGCCATCTGTGAGAACTTGAACAGCCATCTGGGCTCCTAGAGTTCAGTTTTATAGCCTACAAAGTAGGGCTGTCAATACATCTGTGAATGTGGTAGATGAATACAAGGAAATAGTGCTGTCTGGACACCACGGGCAGATGCATAGGAACCCACAGAACTTGTGACAGCATACAAAAGACCTGTGCAAGCCCAAGGCAGACAACAACCCAGCATGGATGGAGGAGGTGGGCAAGAATCCCCAGCCTTAGTGGAGGATCTATTGACAATCAGTAGATGCTGGTAGAGGGAGGCTCAGGTTTTTTAAAAGATATGACATGAACCCATACCTGAGAGCATTTGGAGGAATATAATGAGAAGAGAAAATAACGAAATTGGGGGAGGTACTGGGGGGGGTCTGAATATTATCAAAATACATTGTATGAAATTCTTTAAAAAAATCAATAAAAATATTTTTTAAGTGTTTGGGGCCTGGGGGAAATGGCTCAGTCAGTAAATGTTTACCATGTAAGTGTGAGGACCTAAGTTCAGATCCCTGTCACTCATGTGAAAAAATAACTCAGTGCAGCAGCACACATTTATAATTCCAGTACTAGGAAGGTAGAGATAGGAAAATCTTTGGGGTTTGCTGACTAGCTCGTCCAGCAGAATAGGTGTATTCCCTGTGTTCCAGGTTAAGCAAGGGCCCCGCCTCAAAAAATAAGGTGGAAAGTGATTAACACAGAGACCCAATGTCGACCTTGGGCTTCCACACATGTGGATCCATACGTACACACACACACACCACAGAGAGAGAGAGAGAGAGACGCGAGAGAGAGAGAGAGAGAGAGAGAGAGAGAGAGAGAGAGAAACACAGGACAAAAAATAAATAATAAAAGTACTAGGGACAGTGTGAGTGTTTAGTAAATGACAGTTACAAATGCTGCTTCTGAGTTCACCACTCCTACTTTTGAGGAGCGAGCAACCGTATATTCTATACTCACTCCACATCTCCATAAGGGCACCAAGGGAGATGCTTCAGAGGAGAGGAAGTCACGCTGAATTGGGCTTAGCTGAAAGACCCACTGTAACCTTAATGAGGCTAAAGACTGCCAAGTGCCCTAACTTTTATCTGCCTCCCTTATTATTAAAACCCATTCCCTGCTTCCTTCCTCTTCCTATAACTGAACCACTTGATTTGACTTTTTTCTTTAGGTCTCAAAATTGTCAGATGAGACTAAGCCTCATTTCCAATGCCGAGAAAAGGAATGTCAAGCTGCCTGGTTCAACCTTCTGGTGTTCTTGTGCTACATTCCCAGGCTGGCCCTGGCATTTTGTCCCAGTTCTCAGGACTTACTTCAGTATTAACAATGAAGCTCTCCAACATCAACGATCCCTGGGGATTGCTGGCACTCTAGAAAAGCAGTCCTGCCTTTCTTCAGCCATATTCTGTGCCAAGAACTAATGTCCTATTACAGAATCATATGCAATGTTCTGTAAACAATTACATCCATGGTTCCACAGCAGTATATGACAACAGGGCATCTGATGCCATGCCTATTGATTAAACTTGTTGGACCACTCTGGTTTAATCTCATCTTTCTGGCAACTACTTTACATAAAGGGAAATTTCTAGATTCAAGTTCTAATCTCCCCAAGTGTCCTCAGACCTGACAACATTATTCAAGTTACCTAGTCTCATATTGTATAAAATGTCTACTTTAATAATAAAAACCAGACCCATATTTCACCTTTCACATTTGTGATGTGCGTCACATCCAGCAAAACATCTTTTTAAAAATTTTTATGTATTATTTTATCTTATATGTATGAGTGCACTGCCTGTATGTAAGTGTACCCATGCTGTACAATAATGCCCATGGAGGTCAGAAGAGGGTGTCAGGTCCCCTGCGTTTAGTTAAGAGAGAACATAATCATTATTTTCCATACTCTACTGTTCATTTTACTTTCTCCTTTTAAAGCCAAATATTGTCTTGAAGAATAAAATTAAAACACAGATGAGAGATTCTGTATGGTGATAAAATGGGAGATGGGGCAGAGATGGGATTCTTCCCTGAAAACTGAATTATTTTTTGCAGTACTCTCTGCTCTCACATGCCGTATCAAAGCAGGAAGCGAAAAGATACGCCAATGTGTGTTTTCAAATATGCCTGGACCCTTAGTCCTCACTGTAAAACACTATGAGACTCTCTCCACCTTCTTTCACTTCCCAACGCCCATCCATCAAGGCTACTGATAGACTGATGACAAAACCAGAAGTAACTACTCGGGAGAAAATGAAACAAAAGTGTGAATGAATAAGGAACATTCTAGAAACACTAGCATTTCTTCCCCAGACTTTGTTATCTTTATTTCTGTTCCCAGCCATCATTTCAGAATGCCAGAGTACTCTGCACATCTCACATCAGTGAACAACAGAATTTTGGAAGCAAGGAAAGAGGAAATCATTTCCTGGATGTGGGTTTCCCAGGTCTGTAGCATTTGGGTCTGGGGGAACTGTGGTTTAGTCAATACGACAGGTGAACCGAGGATCATAATCTTTATATTCATACTACCAACACACCCACTACCACATTAGCCCAGAAAATACCCCAAAGTTGAAAGAAAGGCAAAAAATAAATGTAGGTGCTGGAAATGTATAGATGGAAATGGATTCAAAAAGTTGAACATCCTGTCTTTCGAGTCTCTGAAAAGAGAATGCAAACTTTAAGCAGGTGTGTGTGATCTGAGAGAAAATGGAGTTTTGCCTCATTCTAGATGTGGATTTCTAAGTAAATATTCCAGCTCTAGAGAATGTCTACCTAGAGAAGTGAGGCTCAGCGGGGAGGGCGACACAAAGTCAGTGGGAGCTTCCCTGAGAGGGGCTTTGTGATAGGAATGATGTCTATCTCAGGTAACCAGCCTCGCCTGGTGATGAAGGACAAAATAGACCAAGGTGCCTGTGGTGTTGGGGTGTATAAGCCATCACTCCTGTCAGAGGTAGCCCCAAGTGAGAAGAGATTCAATTGTACAAATTTCTTCTACTCACCAACACAGGAGTTCAAAGTAGAACTTGAACTCGATAATAGAATAAACTTATATTTGCTGCATACTTGAATGTGCACACTGAGACTTGAACTTGATACAGGGCCTGTACAATCAACTTGCACATGCAGCACAGTACGAATGGAACTCTCTACATTTAGCAACTGGTGGCCACCTGTGGGACAGCTGCTTATAATGGACATGCCAGAGGAATACAGATGTGCCTATTTAGAAGGCCTTTCAGCTTTGATTATGAGGAACAAGCTAAAACAATAAGGCAGAGCTGTTGTGTGGTCTTGGAGATGATGCAGAGGAAGAAAAGAGAAGTTACTGATTAAAAGATGAATCCTAACAGTAGAAAGTCAAGCTTCCAGAGTGATGTTAGATTCCCAAGTTCTCACTTGTTTTCCCCCAGACTTAACATAAGACCACCAGCAAAGCTGGTGGTAAAGAAATGATTCCCAAAGCCACTAATATTAAAAAAGAAGCTCAAGCAATTTGAGTAAAAGGCATTGGTTGAAATAATTTTTAAATGGTCCTATAAAACTTTTAGGGCTAAATGTTATAAGCCCATAAAACAGAGAGATCAGAGCTGGTTTTAAGGTGTCATATCATATAATTACTTATAGTTACTGGCTAACATATACTTCCCCCAAATACGTTCTCTACAATAAAGAGACAAATCTATGAATGTGTGCTTTGGTGTCGGGGGAAGGAGCAATCTGGGGCAGGGCCAGGAAAGAACACAGCATAGACAAAGGGAGCAAAAGAAATGAAGATGATAAGAACAAAGAACAAGGCAAGGGATCTAGAAAGAGATGTGGACCTTTACAGATCAGCCTGGGAGCAGCACACCTTTAAATCCGATTGCATTCTTGATTTTACAGCCTGTCTTCTCACTGGATGGAAGTCCTTGTTTCAGATGAGACTGAAGAAGCGCAGTGTGTATTCAAGACAAAGTTGGAGATGTTAGAAAATCCAGTGTCATTTTGTTTGCTTGTTTCTCTGTGTTTCCTTTCAGCTACACCCGTCCCTAACTGTTAGGTACTCAGAGCTCTCTTAGACATTTCAACATCATGAGAGAAAAGTGATAGAACGGATCAAACTGTCAGTCTAAAGATGGCTTTACAAAGGTATTGGGACTATAACGTAATATCTTTGACTTGCAATTCACTTATTCATTAAGCCTTTATTGGGCACTGTCTCTCTGTTAGGCATTGTTTTGGGGAATCAAGTACTCAACAATTGCCAGGACATGTTTTAAAAGAGAAGACCTTTCAAGTCTTCACATATAAAGATGATTAATTAGCCCATATGCATATAAATGCATACACCTTTGGGGTTCTTGAACTTTAGGGCATGATGTTCAAGTTCTAGGGATATATATAGTCCAATATTTTTGTTCTCACTGTGTTCCAAACTCCAATGCATCCAGTATAATCCCATCTGCATGATGTTATCTTCTAACAGTTAAATAACCTGCAATAGTGCTCACCTTGCTGATGTGATGTCATATA